CGGCGGGGCCGGGCTAAGGCAAAGCGGCTGCCCCAGCTGGGTCCGGAGCCGCGTGGGTTCCGCAGGGAGAGCGGAGCAATTAGCTGTGAGCTGCACTGAAGGGAAATGCAAAACGAGCCATTTAAAAATAGCTCATTTTGAATATAAAAATAGCTATTTCAAAGCTCCGGCTAGACACGGTAAAAAGCAGAATGCAGTTATTCTGAGCAGACCAGAGTCCAAATGCAATGGCTACCTTTTATGAAAGACATTGGCCCAATTGTACCACACTTTTCCCCCCCTCTTGCTCTCTCCTCCCCACACCACCGGCCTCGTTTGGTCTAAGGAACCCCCAGTCTCACAGGATGCTCTGAGGAAGAACTGCTGTTCTGCAGGAAACGTTCCTGGCATAAGAGAAGACTTCATTACCAATCTATCATTTCTTTTTAAGTTGTTGTTAAATAATAACAGGTGTCCTAGTGGAGACTGACCAATTCTGGTGTCCAGTTGGCTGTTCAGTTTACTTTTCCAGACACCGCAATTTGGGTCTTTGTCATTCTGTTGAGTTTTTGCAAATCACTAATAGTGAACGTTTAGGACTTCGCTTGCAATAGTATCAAAGAGGGATCAGGAACTTAAAGAGTTCAACAGAAACAGCAACAAAACCAGAATCTGAAGAAATACTTAAAAGCAAAGACTCTGGCACTTGGAGCAGTGTGGTTGTTTTTAATTTCTGTTTTTTGGGTTTTTTTCAAACAAACAAGCAAACACTTTTAACGCTGTTTAAAAAATACAAGAAGAACACACCAAACACCTAACGCTTAACTTGAGGCTCTTTTCCATGTAGCCATATCTAGTTGCCCAAGTGCCAGGATAATAAGCTATATTTAGGGATCCTTCTGGGTTCTGGTTTTGCTCATTGTCACTGTTCAGTTACATAAGTGCCTTGCAACTTCCTAGAAAACTGGTTTGTGTAAGGTTACTTGAAATGAAATTATAAATATACTTGAGTAAGAATTGGCACTTTCATTAGTGAAGTAAAGAAGTAGGTAAATTATGCCTAGACAGCACTTAAAAATGTTCACGTCACGCTTTGTCTGGTACTTCCCTAAAAATGTATCGTACGGGACAGGGGAAGAGCTGGAAACAAGCAGATCAGGAGAAAAGCAACTTGCATGAAAGAGCATAAACATGATGCGAATTTGATTCGGGCCTTTTAAAAAAGAATTTCTTCTAAAGATTCTCTGTAAAATAATCAATTGCCTGTGATGCCTGCATTTATCACTGTGATTTCTTTCAGACCAGCATCAGAGCTGGTTGCAGTCATTCCTAAGAAAACAGAATTGCTTACTTTAGAGAAGCAAGTTCCCAAACAATATTAAACACGATGAAAGTTTAAGTCTATTTTTCTTCCTGAACTCATATTCCCCTGGGCTTCCCTAGCTTGGCAACTTTCAAGACACTGATGCCATCATGCTAAGCATATTTAGATTTTCATATCAAAATCTCCATCCCAGCTTTTCATCCCTAATATCAGCCCTTGCTTTCCAGAGATAATTTTATCTAAAGAGGAACTGAGTGAAAGGCCCTTGAGATCCAGTGCCTCCTGGTGAGCCCCAGCCTCCCCTGGTCTCCCTGCTGCTGCCTCCTGGCTGGGGCTGGGCTGGTCCATCACCAAGCCTATGGTATATTGCCAAGCAGGTAACGTGGAAACCCCTTTCCCTGTATTTCCAAAAAAAAAAAAAAAAATTTGAGTTTTCCCTATTGGAACATTCTTCTGCCTGAACTTCTTGAGCTTTCTTGTGAAAAAATATGAAAAAAGAAAGAAAAAAAGCAGCAGCAGCGAGGAATGCTCTCACCCCATAAATAAGAACAGTTATTCTCAGAGTGAAGGAAGAAGGGGAAAGCCATACTGAGACAATGAAGCTCAAGAGATACCATCCAAAGATTTCATCCTGCAATGAGACTTATCTGAAAAGTTATCCTTCGCTCATATTGCAAAGCAATTTCTTTCTCTCCACTGTACCCACTTCCAGAAAAAAATTTGCTATTTGTCACTTTAATTACTTACTCCTAAATCCTAGACTTTCAGTGAGTAGAAGCAACGTACCCATGAGTTTTCTGACAGCAACCAAGGCTGATTATACTGCACTGCATGCAGAGCAAATGCTAATTAGGACTTTTGCAAATGAAAAGCACCATGCTCTCAACATGTTCTTCATTTTTACTTGTCTTCCAGAGGAAAACAACAAAGAAAATTAAGCTTCATCTCACGCTCACCCTGGATATAAAACTAGTTCTTTCAGAAAGGCATTTACTGAAACCTTTGGCTTACAATTCCCAGGCCTCTTAAGAGCAGTGATTTTTGGATGTGCTGCAGCTTCAGCCCTGGTACCCTAAGTGAGCAGTGTGCTGAAATCCTCTGTAGTCCTTTCGAGTTTTGCAATGCAGGGGCAGCTCTGGCAGCAGTGTGCTAAAGGCTCTGACAAGTCTTTCAAAATCAGCCACTAAAAAAACAAAAGGGCAAAGTGAAAACCATACAGTACAACACCTCCTTTTATAGGGATGGTGCCTCCTCAGTTCATGGAGCTCTGAGGCTGAAGTAAAACAATCCAGTGATGAAGGAGAGCGTTGTATAAAATAACCCCAGCAGTGCTTACAGTTATTAGTACACTGATTTCAAATGCTGGGCTTGGGGAAATCAGGAAGATTCACTTGTCTAGCTACATCTTTAACCCTTCATAAAATAGATCAATTGAACTACTGTTACTTACTTATAATGATATGCCAGGGACATTCCTGAAAAATATTTCACTTGCCCAGTGTAGCAGCGTATCTGCCTTCTTACATGGAGTATAGAAATTGTAAGCCTGCAGTAAGAAAACTGTTTTCCACAAGTCTTTCCTGACTCCAGGGTGAAATACTTCAATAGCCACACACAAAAACTTCACGCTAGTGATTTGTAGGTTGTGGGACTCAAGAATATCATGAGACCAAGGCAGTATGGTTCCCACACTAAATGACATGATACTCCCTGTGCACACCACATTGAAAAGTGGGGCTCATACAAGGAATACATATAAAGTGTAGAAAACAAGATTTTGTGCAACTGAATAGGTGCTGAAATAGTTTCTGGGAGGCTTAAAGGCCTCAGGGCTCACAGAAGACAGCAGCACGCAAAGCTCCTGGACATTAGGTCCTTTTCTTGATACTGGAAATCAAACCGTTGCCACACGCAACTTGGCAGGAAAATTCCCTGGGTTGGTTATTAAGCCTCTAATGGCTTATTAGAGGTATTTCATGAAGTAGAATAGTAAGGAATTTGTGGTTCTTTTGATACTTACTAACTTTTCTGCATGTCTGTTCTCTAAACTCATACAAAAAATAGTTGATCAATTCGTTACAGAAAACAACAAATGCGCCACAAATATTTGCAAAGCTCAAATATTTAGATTTGTGGATGATTTGAAAGAGGTCTGGTAATACAACACTCCAGAAGGCCCACACTAAGATTCAGGCATTAGGAAACACAAATTTTCAGATCCCAGTTGAAAGCTGACGGTGTCCAATTCAAAACATCCAGAACAAATACTGTGCAGACTACAAAAGAAATTGCACAAAACAAAATAAGCATACATATATATATCTAGCATGCTAGTTGGTACAGATTTTTCTCTTTATAATGGACATAAGCACATTTTTCAGATTAGCTCTTGTTCTTTACAGCACTGGGCTTTTCTCTGATCTCGCCAGGGCGTAACTTTCAAACTGAACCTACAGAATCCAAGTGCAGCCTAGCTAAATCCAGGGGAAACCCATGGATCTGTTTGGGGGGGAATCCCTACAACTGAAACGTAACAAAACCAGGAGTCTGGATTACAACGTTCCAGAGCAGGTGAGAACTAGAAGAGCAGTTCTTGGAGGGCAAACTTACCTTGCTGATGGGGACAGGAACCGAGCGAGCAAAATGCAAGAGAAGTAGCCTGACTAGAAAATACTAATAGTTTGACAGGACACTGAATGGCTTCATGTTAATTGGTACATTCCATTTTATGGGTCACTCAAAGGCAAATTTGCTCAACAGGTTTATGAGAAC